AATATTATGGCTGTTGATCATTTTGTTATCAGTCCTTTCTATACTGTTTCACTTTTCATCCTGTTGTTTTGTGCCGGGTAAATTCTTTTTTTTTTTTCTTATCAAGGTTTCAAGAAGAAAAAATAAACAGATTCATGAAATTTTGAGAATTTTAATTAATGACTTCATTTATTCTAGGTTATCATTAATTTCTCTTACTTATTTGTGTCAAACGCTATTCAGCTTACCATCATTGGCGTACATTGTTGTTGGTATTGTATTCTTCTTCATCGGAGCGAATTGCATTATGATAGTCATTTTCTTAGAGAATCAAATGTTAAAGGTTAAAATATGATAGCTTAAATTCTTTCGCTTACTTTTTTTCGAATTTAAGAATTTTAAATCTAGTTCCAACTTAAATTTTAATAACATTTTTAATAAATTTTCGGTAAATATTATTAAATTCTGAAAAGTATTTTAAAAAATAGTACTCATCCTATAATTTTGAAGGATACTCGGGATGTTTTCTTAATTTCTTTTCTAAATTTAACTTTTTTAGGATGAAGCGTTAGTAATCGCTTATCAAATTTGTAGTGTATTATTTATAGCACTTCCTCATTACAATCTTGGAATGGCTGCTTACCGATTGAGTTTTGTTGGTGTGTTACGAATGCAAAGTGAACTATATCTCAGTATGCTTCAGTATCATTTTCTGCGCAATAATCCAGTGTTTTTGTCAATATGTTCAGAATTGTGACTATCAAAGCTGATTGCTAATGAAGTTTTTGAATTTCAGAGGATATAAATCGAAAGGATCAAATTAATCATCTACCGTTACCCAATCCGCTTGAATGGCATTTGATGGGGAAGCATTTGATAGCACTTATCATAGAATTTTGTTTATGTTTGCTGATGTTGCTCTTAATCGAATATCGTTATTGTTTAAACTCATGGATGAAGTAGGTATTTCCTGAGGCTGCAGGATGCTTTTTGTAGATACAGTGGTGACGGATGAACATTACTTTAACTAGTCTTTGACAAAGTTTTTTAATGGTATAATCATTACAAAGAATGTCAAAATTTGAATAATTCAACAAACTGGTCAGCAATGTTCATAAGTTAAGTTTTGTTGAATTATTCGAAATTTCTTTTAAAAAAGAACAGACAAGATGCCACAATGATTTTGCTCTTAATGTAAACATCATCATCTTCTAAGTTCATAGATAAAATGAATGAGAAAAATAATGTTAGCAGCTTGTGACAACGTCAGCAATCAGATCAAAATCGGCAGTCTTTAAAAATTTGAATCTAGCTGCAAAGGCATTGATAAATTCATTGCTGTTATTGAAATGTCTGCAGATATCGCGAATTTATGCGAACAACGCAGCTAATCGCTAATACGGAAGAGTCTGAACTAGATGAAGATGTCAAAGTGGAACACGCACGAGTGGATGCATTAAGTTCAGAACCAAACGAAGACCATAGACTGATTGTCAGTGACGTGTCGAAGGTGTGTCCACTTTTACTTTAATCAGTTATGATTACTTTTTATAATTCAAAAGTTTCTAGCAAATACAAATCAGTGACTCGAACAATGATATTTATTTAAGTCCTATGATGGACAAACATTAGCAGTGCGTAATGTTTCATTCGCAGTCAAAAATGGGGAATGTTTTGGATTATTAGGTGTAAATGGAGCCGGCAAGACATCATTGTTTCGTATATTAACCGGACAAGTATCAGTTGGTACTGGTAACATACTTATTAACAATAAAAGGTTTTTCATTTTTTATGAGAAATTTTTCCTAATTAAAAGCTTAGATAATGAAAATTCAACTGTTTTCTTTCTCCTACTTATTTTTATAAACTTTTAAACCTTCTCTATAACATTTGAGCATCATCATGACCTAAGAGGAACAGAGTTCGAGTCATAGTCTTCCTTATAAATGAATTCAATTCGGCGAATTTTTTAGTATTCAATGCAAAAACTCAAGCAGTTTGACCAGTTGTGGCTACTGTCCACAGTTTGATGCATTAAATCCAAAATTAACAGCACGAGAACACCTTCGTTATTATTCGCTTCTTCGTGGTGTTAAAAAAGAGGATGTAGATATGGTGAGCTATCTTGTCATACACATCACTGATGATTTGAACATCACCTGTCTTTGATCTTATGGTGAACTTGAAACATCTAAATCTTTATTCATTTGCAATATTATAAACTATCGATGAAGATAGCAGCGCTTATATTTAAATTTAGTGAGTAATAGTGATTTCTTCTTGGCTTATTAAAAGCTTTTAGATGTTATGTATTTGCCGTTGTTAATATAGCATAGTGATTCCTGTTCACGTAACTCAAGATTAATTTGGCGAGAACACAAATCAAGATTAATTTTGCGAGAAAGATGTCGAATGGTATATTAGTTTTTTTTGTAATTTTAAAATCTGTCAACTACCAGTAATTTTAGGTGGTGAATTGGGCACTGAGTAAGCTACAACTGAATCCTTATGCTGATGAGATCGCTTCGAATTATTCGGGTGGCAATAAGCGTAAATTATCGCTTGCTATTGCTTTGGTCGCCGATCCGCCATTATTACTGCTTGTAACTTTATTCTTAAATGAAAATAAATGAAATCAATTTGACTGAATTAACTAAAACATAGTTCCAATAATTTTTTCATCCTTCTTAACGGTATTGAATTATAAATGAACAAATGCAATAAATTATTTACTCAGTTTAAATTGATCAGTCATGCGTTTACCGGCTTACTGAGTTACACAACTAGTTTTTCACTGTATTTCCAACTTTAATTTTCATTTTCAAATTTTTGAAGGACGAACCGAGTGCTGGAATGGATCCATTAGCGCAGCGTTTTATGTGGAATATTTTGCTAGCGCTACGGAAAAATAAGCGTGCGATGGTAATAACGTCACATAGCATGGAAGAGTGTGAAGTACTTTGTAGTCGAATAGCAATAATGAATCACGGACAACTTCGATGTGTTGGATCAATTCAACATCTAAAACATAGGTCCTCATTTTCCTGTCTATCACTAATAATGACAGGACGGGCTTGGGGCAACTTCTGTATTGTCTGAGAAATGTTGAAAGTGTTGAAATTAAATTTTCTTTTGCTATATTAACTTGTTAGTCTTTAGTTTACTGCCTTATTCTCTCTTAAGAATCATTATTTAAGCAGCTTCTGTGACCGAATTCAATTACTTTAGGGATTATGCAGCATTAGTGAAGAATAACTGATTCAATGCATTAAAATTTGACAGTCATGAATTGAAACACTAAAACATGAACGACTTTAAGACAGGTTTTTTCAGATTTGGTGAAGGATATACATTAACAATCAGATTATCAACTAATGAAAGCATAAGTAAAGTTCAAAGTTTTATGGAAATTCTTTTACCTGTCGCACGAGTAAGTCTTTAAATTACTGTGTATCAAAATCTCAACAAATTTTTAGGCATTAAAATCCTAGATTCCAATAAATTATTTCTCTTATTCACCTCTGCTCTACTTCCAATTGCCAGCTGCAATTATCTTAAACTTTCTAATAAATACTATTTCCAGTTGGAAGCTGTACATTTCTTAACTATGTTTTACCAAATTCCAAATGTATCATGTACAATTGCAGATGCATATGATGTGATATGTAAGGTTAGTTCTCATATTAAATTCCAGAAAATTTTTAAATTAGTCAGTTTTCTATAGACTAACCAAAATTATTAAATCCTGAAGAACGTCACTAAAAGAGTTTTTTCTGATCTGATTTTGACATCGTCGAAAAATCGAAACTAAATTTAATCTACTGAATGAATTGTAAACTGTGGGCAGCACAAATGTGCTCAAAACTATATGCATTAGGGTGGAATTTCTCATCCCGAACTGGATTTAGGTTATAATTTTGATCTTCTAAATCCATCGAAAGTTTAACAGTCTAAAATCAATGTCATGATATCGTGAAGTGATTCATAATTCGTTGTAAGTAAAAATCGTTATAGATGCAAGAAACTATACAAATTGATGATTATTCGCTATCACAAACAACACTAGATGATATGTTTGTTTCATTTGTCAATTCCTCGGCCGACAAAACTGCTGGTTGAAGAACATCAACAAATGCTTGTTAAATTTAGTGGAGGTGAGCAGTTTCTGTTAATGAATATCATTTTTCTCACAATTTTACTGAAGTTCCATGTCGCAATCTTTTCTTCCAAATTCCTCCTATATTATTAAGAATGAAGATTTCAGCCAAAATGGGAAAAAACCTAGAGTTTATCTAATTTTATTCGAAGTTAGGTGATAATACAAACTAAAAAGTATTACCTCAAAAAGAGAATCACATATTTTTTATTAGTGTCCCATAGAAGCGTTAATTTCCATTTCTCATTGATCTGTGATAAATTAATATTATCGCTTTGCAGCTTTGTTCATATAATGTATACCAGAATATCCTTTCCACTTTTCTCTTTTGTTACATAAAATTTGAAATTAATTACCTGAGATGTTTTCCTTGTTCTCACCACTTTAAAAAAGATAAATCTGAAGCAATCCACTCTTCTCATTGATTGATAAATGACCTCATAACAACCATCTAATGATTCAAAACTTACTATTGTCATAATTTTTTTTTTTTGTTAGTATCTTTCATTTTTCCTTTAAGTTTATTTCATTAAGGCAAAATTTTATTACTTTGCAAATATTATCTTATAAGAGATTGTACTAAACAGGATATCAATAAAAAAGTTTTCAAAATAAAGGAAGCTACAAGTTGCAATCTGTTACTATACCACACACATGCTAGGAAAATTTCTCCTCAGTACTCAATGAAATTGATATTCAGTTTGCTTGCATATAATAAATCAGTTATTAAAATAATGACAAATACTTTAAATTGCTAAACGTATAACCTCAGTTCAACTCTCCATTATTCTGTTTCTAAAGGAGTTCACAGAATACTGCTTAATCTTAAGAAAAATTACGAGTTATAATAACTAGTAGATATACATCACGCATTTTTTCGCATAACTGGACCAAAAGTATTAATGCCTTCAAGGCGTGACTTCGTGGAAGAAAGCATGTCGCCGATAAAGTCCTACAAATAATATGAACATTATTAGGACTTGGAACAAACATTTTATCTGCAAAAATTATTCTTTCGCTAAAATGCAAGGGATCAATATTCATGAAAATAATGTAGCTTATTGAATTAAAACTTATATTTTTCACTGCTTATGTAAATGCTTATGTACTATAGCGAATCAACCGCAGATTTGATAACTTTCCCTTTCAAAATGACAATACTCACTTGATCATTGCATGTTTCCACTCCAAGGCAGTGATCCCTTAAAAAAAGCTGCTACAATATACCTTGAATTTTAGTTTAGTCTATGAAACGAAATTTTCATATTATGTTATGCTCTGAGAAATTCTCCTGACCAAATGCTAGAATAAAAATGTGCTCATTAATATTAATAGTAAAGAAAATTTTGAAGTTTAAAAATTTTTTCAAAAGACAAGTTATTGTTGATATATACACAACATTCTAAGTCTAATATTGGGCACAGCGCCCATGACGATTCCAGTAGTCAACAACATCATTAAGCAATGAACAAGCGAATTTAAAGGACTGTGAAACATGTTTCGAATCTGGAAAAATTTTTTGCTTCAAGTCAATAAAAACAATGTATTAACCTGCTACATCTGTTCACGGTAAACCAAATTTCACGCGTAAGATCACGTGCAATCAGTCCATTCAGACGATCCTTCATAAATGATAACAACAATATTCCATCGAGACGGAGCACATTTTCAGTAAAATCTAGTAAAGAGCGTTTAACTTCTACACCAATGTAGTTATCATCAGCCTGAATACCGCAAAATGCAAGAATTACAACAAAAATGCCGATATAATCCACATTTTCAGCTTAATTTTTAACGAATTGACCTTCAGAAACAGAAATACCTGTAAGAGAGATAATACACGTGTATAATACAGAGATGGACAAAGCAGAAGTAGCGTAGAATTTACTGCACTCACTGCATCAATCAACAGCAGTGCTGAAAGCCAGAACCAAAGCACCAAGTATAATTTTTCATTTAGCGCATTAATCATTAGAAAACACTGCATCGTATGGGTATTCACCTGACCCATTTGCTGAAATCCTGAACATTACTATAGTTTAAGTCACTTAAGTCATATAATTTAAGATAGGGATTTTATTTTTAATTAAGACTATTAATTGCAAGATAAACCTCGTCAATATTGCAAAGAAGCCTTTTTTTAGCTTAAAAGCAACAAGCTAATCTCGTCGTTTATTCTGTCAAGAACACTTAGTATTTCTTATCGTAAAGTGCTTATTTTAAAAGAGTATTATTATAAAAATAATATTATAAAAAGAGTAAATAACCGTACAGCAATTTTGACATCGCAGAATGTTACCAGTGGAAATATACCTGATACCTTCCAGTTGTTACCTTTAAACATTTCCTCCATAAACTGGAATATATGATTACAAATGAATTGTTCTCTACCTTCTTCGACACTTCTTAAATTTTGGTTAATATAAGAAAACTAGTAAACTTACATGGTAGCCCCAAAGTACACAACCATCACCAACGAAATTATTTATAAGTAAAACTTGGCATAAACAACTGAGAAAATAGAACCATTTTATGAGCGCATAAAAATGATATAACGAACAGCACCTAGCAGCTTGTCTTCAAAAAATATATATATAAATATATCGGATAGAAATTAAAAGTTTTAAAATATTAAAATTAGCCAATGTTGCTTTACAATAAAGCGCTTTATACCACATACTTTTTTGTGCCACTTTTAATTTCATCTCTTTAAACTATATTCTACAAGTTACAAAATATTGGAAGCTTCTTTCTACTATAAAGCCGTAATTATAACGCTAATTGGACAGATTATAATTGGTAGTAAGTAAGATTTAAGGTGGTAAATAAAAGTCAAACTTTAAAATCGCCCATTCAAACTTACCTCCTTTGACTATATTTAATATATGCGATTGCTAAGTTAGCGACCCTTTTGAGATGCTTCCGACGAACTGATAATGTCGTAATGGACGGTAATTTCATTGCTTCTTCCATAACAGAACGCATATCCAAACCTGTATCGTAATTTGAACTAATTTAAATTTAAACAACAATCAATTAATTATGTGTATTCAGTACAAATAGCAGTCTTTATAAAGCGATAATACTATCATACTTATCTCACTACTGCTATATTTTACACATATTTTAGTCTTTTAAACTATAATTCAAGCAGGAAATTAGGGGTTATGACCGAGAAGGATAAGCTAAGCCTTGTTAAATTACAGTTATTTCATTAAATTTTGACGTTGATAAAGGAGACGTCAGTACTACTTACCATGTGTTACTATAATAGTATTCCAGAGAAATTTTGGTAAATAGCAAAGTAAAGCTTGTAGCAATAATACATAAGGCACCCACTGCAACATAGAATTCTTCCAGTTTTGACGTTGCAATTTTATAGCGTGCATGCAATTTGTAATTAATGTATATTACAATATAAAAACGTGTTCTTTATTCAAATATAATTGAGTTTTATATATGCAATTGATGACTCGTACTCAGCTATCCTCGTTTAAAATAATGAAGCTTCAAAATCGAGTATATACGAATTGGAAAAATTTGCCTGATAGTAGACAATTTCCTCTTTCAGAACATTCGTTGCGTCACCTTTCGCAATAATTTTGCTGGTATTTACCATATATGTATTGCTTACAAAACAATAATCTTGTACATAATCAACCCATGTACCTATAACTATTTCAAGTAAAAAAATTAATTCGAAATCTATTATTTAAAAGACCAAAAAATCCGAGAAATGTTTAAAATAAAACACATGTTCCAAAATTTGAAAACATACAAACAACAAATTTACCATTGTTATAGATAATTCATCCTGATCAGTAATACTAATATACAGTTTACCATAAGTTTAAGCAACATTAAACGCATTTATCAAAATAATCCGGTCTTTTTTTTTTTTTTTTTTAGTGAATACATTCCCTATCCTTAATTCATTTTTACGCCATTTAAAACGTCCATTTCATTCAACTACTTTAATTTAAAAACTGCAAAACCTTTATTTAATCCTTTACGTTTTATTTTATTTTTTTTTATTTAAAAATTATAAAAGATTATTTCAATCATTGAGTAAACTCTTAAAGAATACAAATCAATATATTGTTCATTTGACAGCAATTTACGTACAAAGAAGTTTTAAATGCATGTCAAAGTAATAAATGGTTAACCTGGAAAGTGTGTTGGTGCCATACACTGAATTGCAGTACCAAAATGTTGCTTTGCGCCTGTAAGTGTTGCCAAAAACATGAAAAGACCCACTGTATACACGTGATTCAAGCGATCCACCAAATCGTCTGTAGGATCAGAATGTGCTGCCACAAATTTGCTTGCTATTTGTTCAGGCCATATAAACATCTTGAAATACCACTCTAAAATAAGTTCAAGATCAGAACTCTTCTTATTATGAATATTCAGGCATACAAATTCCTTAACTTTTATGTTTGTGATAAGAGATGAAAATGACTGATTTCTAACAAATCAGCTAAACATGGCGTATAAGGTAAAAACATGCTGCATAAACTGCAAACTTAAAAATGATATATCAGATCTGTTCATCGTAGCCTAAATGAGTAAGTAGCATACACTCCTATAACTCTCAATAAATTGTAGCTCGTAAACAAAAGCACCTTTTGAAATTTACAAGCATGGAACGATTATGAAAAATCTCATCAAACAGTTTATTTCTCACGCTCTTCCTTAACCAGTGCGATGAGCTTTCTCACGCTCTTCTCTTCAAGCTCATTAATAAATGATAGCAGAATAATCCACACTTAACAAGCGTAGATCACGCTATATCATATATTTCGATTGTAAGCGTGAAAAAGTAGCGAGACGGAATAAATACAAAATCTAAGGAACTAACAAATGGAACAACCGCCTCTTGACGACATAACAAATGATACTATTGGAATAGACTCGAGGGAGACACAGTAGGAGACAGTGTATATAGGAACCCACGCAGATATTCCTGCAAACGTATGTCCACGTTCATGTCAACTTACGCAGTTATATATTATTAACGTAAGATTTATATCGACGTTGTTACCAAAGGATGATAACACGTTAAGCACTGATTGATGTGGTAATGATAATAGCAGATAAGCGTCAGCTCAAGCAGTCTCATGGCTTTATAATTTGAGCATATCTTCACCTCTTTTCTCTCATAATTATATATATATATTTCGGGTATATCAAATTTTATTATTGGTATCCACAATCAAGTTTTATTGAAAAATTAATTTCAAACATTATTTCAATGAATTTTTAAGAGCATTTAGAATCCCATTACATTTAATGGATGAATTTAGTTGCATCAATAAAGTTCAAATAATCTTCCGTGACCTTTTGATCCAGTTTAACACAATACACCTAAACAATATCCCTTAAAATAAAAGTCCGGCTGCTATTCATCGTGATTTCTTTCATTCATAGCTACCGTACCGCAGTCTATGATCGCTAATTTTTTGTATTTTTTATACGCAAATGAATGAATTTGAAGATTGACATTGGCTTATTTGAACCTAAGTTGACTTTACTGCTTGAATAATTTGATCTGTAATTGAGCTGACTTTGCCTGCTTTATTCAAGAATTCGCGTTCTTTCAGTGTCAGATCCAAGTCTCTCGGTGTATATTCCGGCAGCATGAATACTTCCCGCAGCTCAGCTTCAGTCAGAAATCTGCTCATTAACCGCGGTCTATCACTACTACTCTGTGAATCCTCAAATCATTGTTGAATTTTTTACATTTTAAAAAATTTTAAACTTTTCTACATCTTACATTGTAAGGGAATCACAAAGGTTCATTTTCAGAAACTTAAAACGCAATAAAATTTCTTTAGTTTTTGAAATTCTGAATTTATTCTTTATTTTGTTATTTATTTTTTCATTTACAGTGGGAATTTCGAAAGCGCTCTGATTGAAATAGCTTCCCTCACCAGTAAATTATGAGCTTCCAGAGTATCGTTGGATGATTTACTATAGAAGTCGACTAGGGTACAGGTAGTGAAGAAGTATATATAGGCAATAATTGAAACGGTCATGAGTAAAATTGAGATAGGCATAAAAAGCAGTACTACATACCAAATCTAAAATTTCATACCCTTCATAATTCTTCTTTATTTTCGAAAATTAAATGATCAAACTTAGTCACTGTATTAACAAAATATTCAGATTGGCTTATATGAGCTATTTGTTTGTTAACAAAATCTGTCTATAATTAGCTAATATATCGTATTAGGTTGGATGAGATATAATGAGATCAGATCACATATAATACCCCATGTTGACCGAGTATTAATAAAATAACATATTGCAGATTGAAACTTTTATGACACTAATAGAAGTGATGCAAATGGACCCAATTATTAAGGGTCATATAAAATAGATGAGCCATATAATTGCAACCACTCTTCACTTCGGTTGTACATCAAATGAGAAAATTCTTTTATCTTCTCCTAGACAATTTTTCACCAATTAGCAATAACTTCGGACATAAATTAAAATTTGAATCTTCAACGTCTCATATTCATCAAAATTTTGCATTAGTTTCCAGGTCACACTTATTTTTTACTCTCTTCTTCTCTTATCCTTATTTGATTCTCTTTCAAAAAGGTCACATGACCATATCATTGTGTAGAAAGGAGAAAAAAAATGAGTGGCAGATAATGCAAAATACTTAATACTAATTCAAAACCAAATTGTTTGAAAAGCTGAGCAACGAATCCGTACACAAGTCAAAAATCAGATCTATGATTCTTTATAGAAATCATACATTTTGACAAAAAAAAGTGGCGAAATATAGATCACTGTTTAGTATTCAAAATATGTATTGTAAATATTCTTTCTGAACAAATGTAAATAAGTCCTTCAGTTACACAATACTGATTAACTGGATCTATTAACTATTAACATAGTAGTTTTAAAATTAACAGCTTTAAAAGCTATGAAAAGAAGCCAAATACGACAACGTCATATCACTGATTTGTAATTATTCTAATAACATATTTGCAGCACTCAAGATATTGTTAAAAATCTTTCATTCTTCTTTATAAGGCAAGTTCTCAACTTTCCTTTAAGGTTTTTCTTAAACATTAAATATTTCTCATAGTAAGAATATCACAACAAATTTGACAAACTCTAGCCGGTTTCTCAACACCGTACTTGAGTATTGGCACTTCCTGTTCCGAGCAACGTGCACACACTAACCGTCCACAATGTCTAAAGTATTTCACAAGATTTCAAGATTTAAAAATCCATTCAAATATATTATCTGAGGTTTGTGAAAGTAATGTAATTTTAAAAACTATCACTACAAATAGCTCAACCATTGCATTGAGATTTTTATTTTATGTACAAGATCTAACATTTAGTGTAAACTTGCAGTAAAATTCTATAAGTAATTTGCACATGGTCGCAAGTAATTGGGAAGGTGTACATAAACATCTGGAAATTAGTAATATAGCACGCAGACACGAAAAGATGAAAGAGAGAGATGAAATTAAATTGAATAAAATATTATAAAACGATATACCACTTTGTGGCCATTATGAGAAAGTGGTGGAAAGTACCTGCAATGATGTTTTCGCATTGTCAGAGAAAATTTCATTTCACATTCCGAACATGAATGACCATCAGCCCAACAAGGCTCACGCTCCAGTTTATCTGAAAGTCGTATTTCCTACGTTGATTTTCCAAACTTTCCCTTCCATAAAATATATACCAAGAAGAGTATTATATAAAAATCGTTTCTTGGAAGGGATTTAATAAACATTTCTTAGAATTTTTCGAAAATGTTATTAAAAAATCATAAAATTTCCAGTTAGTCACTTTTACACAAGTACTTCAACTTAATTTTATAAAAAAAGTTTTAAAACCGACAACTGTAAAATACCTAATAACGAAAAAAGGAGCTGTTTTGTTGGCGTCACATGTTTGAAAACTGAGATACCTGATTGGCTAATAGTGCCCAGGCAAACACCACAGCGTAGCAGTGCATGGCACATATTTTCATTTCCTTTTAAATATGACAACAAAAACACTGAAACGAGCATATACTTTACAGCTTTATAGTTTCCTATAGTTCGATGTGAATAACTGTAATTTCAATTATAGAACCTACGCTTCCATTTTCTAATCTGTTCCAGAAAATTTGGACGACATTAGCAAATTGTAATAAATGAAACAAATCAAATAACTTCTGGAATTCCAAATATTTGACTAACTTTTAAAAACAATGCATTTTTAATACGGTACTAGTAAGTACCATCAACTGTGGAAAGAAAACGTGCTATCTTAGAACATACACAACAATACAATTGCAGACTTAGGCTACATTCCAATCTGCTTAAATTTAATTCAGTTCAACAAAGTAAAGGAAAACCTGTAAATCCATCCACATCTTTTTCATCCAAGGGAAATTGAGGGTCAGCATTCAGAAACATCTGCAGTATATCCAACGAATTTGTTCTTGACAAATCTCCAGTAGTAAGAAACAAAGCATTCTGTTGTCTGAAAAAATAAAAAATATTCAAATTCTTATATGCTTATGTTATTAATAACAGTGCATATTTAATCGAGCGACATGTTTATTAACAGCTAAACCGCCTTCTTGTACGTTACAGAATCCAGATGGCCGAATAGCTAATATTTTCGGATCGATAAATTTAACTGAATGCTTAGCACGTGGGTAAAGGAACAATAACAGTAATCTTCAATGCGGTCTACTACATTAGCATGCATCAGTAATCTTAATAATGTTTCTTAAAGAAGATAGTTTCCATAATTTATTAATGCAAGCGAATATCTGAACATACTTTTTATTCAAAGCACGTAAATTTATTCGCGAATCGCCAATCAGAACATTAACACAGGCTACACTTCCTCCTGATACGGCTCTATGCAACGCTTAAATACTCAATAAATATTCGAAGCGAAAAAAACTATCATTATCGAAATTAACGAAGCTTGTTTGTATAAATATAAATACTTGCATAAGATGTCATTATTTCGTGGAAGTCATTTGGAAATGAAACTAAACTCAAGTTTGCTTTACGTTAAAATTGACATACGCGTGTTCCCCAAAGTATCTGGAACGTTAGGCTGGGCACCGTTTTCCAATAAAATCATGCATAACGCTTCATAATTATTATATGCAGCAACATGTAGAGGCGTAAAGCCGTCAGTACTGATTGCGTTCACGTTAGCTCCAGCTAAAATCTGCAATACATCATATTGATTTACTTTATAATTACTGACAACTCAATAGGAGAAGGAAAAAGGGGAATTAAAAGACTTAACAATTCACATACGGTTCAATTATTACTTTCATTGTATACCAAGGAACTCTCAGTATATCA